TCGTGGACGCCGGGGACTCGTGCGGCTCATCCGTCTCGGGCAGCCGAGGGGGCAGAAGAAAACTGCTCGGTTGCAGGGTCACTTCACTACCCTGCCTGAACGGAAACGTCATTCTAAAAGCTGTGCCCCCCCATACTGAGCGTGCGGATGTGGACTGTGTCCCCTCAGAGTGGGTTTGCTGGCCGGGCTGGGCTGAACTCTGCCATCCAGGCAAGATGTTTGACACGGGGGCCAAGGGACCACAGGGCTGCCAGGTATCTGAGATGTTCCCGACGGGATCGGTGGCAGAGAGGCCTGCGGGCAGCGGAGGCGGGGAGGGAGGGAAGAGAACGCCGCAGGTAAGCAGAGTCACAGGTGCGCAGCCACCTCCTCCTGGCGTTCACCACTGAAGGGTTAGGGGGGAGGCAGGAAGGCAGATCAGACCTGGGGAGGGACCAAATCCTGGAGGAGAGAGTCCCCAGACAGAGCTTCGCCGTAGGGCTGCAACGCAAGAATGAAATGAAGCTCTGGCTCAGCAGCTGCAGTAGACAGCGACACTCGATTCCTTGGGACGCCGCGGCTCACGCCGTAGGCAGCGCGTTGCCCACTTCCGTCCGCGCTCGCGGCCGCACGGGGCTCTGTGCCGTTTGCTGACGCCGGTCCCTTCTGCTCTTGTGTGACGAGGAAAGCTCGAAAGCCCTGCAAGCTTGTTCCACTTCACAGGCAGCTTCACCTGCAATATAAATATCAGAATAGGTGACAGAGACATGTATGTTTTCATTGCGTTGTTTTTAAATGTTCACAATTTTATTTTATTTATTTATATTTTTTGAGACAGAGTCTCACTTTGTTGCCCAGGCTAGAGTGAGTGCCGTGGCGTCAGCCTCGCTCACAGCAACCTCCAACTCCTGGGCTCAAGCGATCCTCCTGCCTCAGCCTCCCTGGAAGCTGGACTACAGGCATGCACCACCATGCCCAGCTAATTTTTTCCTATATGTTTTTAGTTGGCCAATTAATTTCTTTCTATTTATAATAGAGACGGGGTCTCGCTCTTGCTCAGGCTGGTTTCGAACCCCTGACCTCGAGCAATCCACCGGCCTCGGCCTCCCAGAGTGCTAGGATGACAGGCGTGAGCCACCTCGCCCAGCCACACAATTTCATTTTGATACATGAAAAATGAGAAAAGTCACATCACGGCTGTCGGCTAAAGTCGCTGTGCGAGTTCACCTGTGGCTGTCGACTACAGTCGGCGCTGGCCCCAAGTGGTTAATCTGCCAGAAACCACGCAGAGCGTTTGAGATTTCTTTTGTTTTTTTTTTGACCACTCTTGTTCTGATAGCGTTTGAGATTTCTGAATCCAAGGCTCCACTGCTGCCCGGGAAAATCCACCAGGCTGAGCGAGGAGAACGCTCCTTTCTGAGAAGCAAACCACACGATCAAGGCAGGGGGCGTGGTGACACAGACTTCATTAAGCATCAGCTGCCACCCGCCCTAGGTTTAGGATAACTCTCAGACTGCTCTGAGGATACGTGGCTAAGTGTGATTAGAAGCGTCCAAACCTGTCCCAGCTGGCACGGGCACTTCCTGCTACTGTGGAATAAAGTCAGGCCAGGAGCCCACGGCCAGTCTGTGAATGGAACTGTCGTGTTTCCCCAAAAATAACACAGGGTCTTGTATTTACTTTTCCTTGAGAAGACACCCTAGTAGGGCTTATTTTCAGGGGATGTGTTTTTGGTTTTTTTTTTTAAGTACGGTGCAACCATCTACATTCATTCAAATAGAGTTAAGTCATGTCTTCTGGAACATCATCATCACTCTCCAAACCCCGAATTCCATCCTGAATGTCTTGAGACTATTTCCTTTAGAACCACTGGCCCTGATCTCTCATGTGGAGCACTAGAGCTCTCATGGGGCAGATGAGAAGGGCTGCTCGTGTTCTTTCCCGCTCGGAGACGACATGCATGGGTTGTGCAGATGTGCTGTGTAGCCACGCCCATCACTAGGGCTTATTTTCATAGCCACGCCCATCACTAGGGCTTATTTTCATAGCCACGCCCATCACTAGGGCTTATTTCGTAGCCACGCATCACTAGGGCTTTATTTCCTAGCCACGCCCATCACTGGGTTTACTTTCATAGCACGCCCACGGTGCTTATTTTCAAGCCACGCCCATTCCACTAGGGCTTATCTTCATAGCACACCTTCACTGTGGGCTTATTTCATAGCCACGCCCATCACTATGGGCTTATTTATAGCCATGCCATCACTTGGGCTTATTTTCATAGCCCACGCCACCACTAGGGCTTATTTCATAGCCAGCCAGCACTAGGGTCTTACTTCCATAGCTACACCCACTCATAGGGCTTATCTTCAAGCCCCGCCAGCACTAGGGCTTATTTTCGGGGTAGGGCTTCTATTGTGCACATGCTAGAAATCCTGCTGGGGCTTATTTGATGGGTAGGTCTTATTTTCGCGGAAACACGGGATATCCCTGGAGGAGCTACGACCCTTGCTAGTTCCCTGTTACCTGGTCCACATAGGAGACTCCATCTCCCTCATGACTCTTGCTGCCCTCACTGAGTACTCACGTGGGTACCACCGGAAAACCCCATTTACATCACAAGCAGAAGAGCTAAGTTCGGTGCCGAAGTAGGGTGGTAGAAAGACAGAGATGCATTTGGGGGAATTGCCTGGGGTGCAGGGAGCAGGCTTCCCAGGATATTAGGCTTGGAAGGCATCCTATGGTCAAAATCCTGAAGCCCAAGGCAGAGAGAGAACTAGTTTAAGAACTCGGCTGCCCGGACTGTGTTGTCTCCATAAAAGAAACCACTTAGCAGAAGCTCTGACGATTCTAATTACCGACCTCTTGTCCTGTGGAAATTTTACATTCCCTGCTCTCATTCCTGCCCACACCCCCAGCTCCATTGTCCAACTAAAAGCCAGAAGGAGATTTAAAAAAAATAAATCCAGTTGGGGCTCAGTGGCTCATGCCTGTCATCCTAGCACTCTGGGAGGCCCAGGTGGGAGGATTGTTTGAGCTCAGGAGTTCAACACCAGCCTGAGCAAGAGTGAGACCCCGTCTCTAATCCTATAAAAAAAATAGAAAAGTCAGGCTCTGTGGGTCTGCTACTCGTGTGTGTGGTGTTGAGTTCTTGTAGCCCAGGAGTCTGAGGTTGCTATGAGCGAGGCTGACGCCATGGCACTCTAGCCTGGGAAACAGAGTGAGACTCTGTCATTCATTCATTCATTCATTCATTCATAAATAAATAAATAAATCCATCTGGTCATGTCACTCACCTGCCCAAAGCTCCCAGTGTGTTTTTCCAAACACTTAGAATAAAATCCAGGCCCCAAGGCTCTACTGTAGCTCACGCCCCTGCTGCCCCTTCATACCGGCCCACACCTGCCCCACACCTGCTTGCCCTCTAGTCCCCCAAGCACTCCCGCCCTCAGCTGGTGCCACCTCAGCACTCAGAACACTCAGCCCCCAGAGGCCGGGTTTTCCTACTGTGCAGTGTAGGGAATTTACGTTATACTTTCCTGGTTTCAGAATTAAACTTAGTGAGTAATGTACGTGCTCTGCCCAGAAAGTTTGAGAGTAATGTGTTCCGGACAGGGTCCCTGTGACAAACAAGGTTGCTGCTGAGGGTCATACCAAAGGACCTGAGTTTCTGCATGTAGGCAAGAGCTGCCCAGCACCAGGATAAAGGGAGGCCTGGAGGCCACGCGATAAGCTCATTGTTCCTATTATTGCTGCTTGGCCCTGTAAGACGGCTGGATAGCCAGTGACGGGTAAGATTCCTCGAGGAGGAACAACCTAAGACAGGCACAGCCGGTGGGGGGGGCAGCCAGGAGGAACTGGGGACAGAAAGTGCCCCCTGTGGCTTCCTCGCTTAGCCTTGTTTATCTCAGCCTGTGACCTATGCCTGGAAACTTCCAATCAGTAAACATCTGTTTCCTTAGGCCGCGTGTTCCGGAACAAATGGCCATTGCTACAGCGTCTGGGGGGGTCACATAACAAGAAACTAACTTTGATTTTTGGGGGGGTATAAAACGACGGCTGTGTTCTGCACTGCAGTCTTCTATGTTTTTGTGTGTGTGTGTGTGTGTGTGTGTGTCTTTCTTTTGTGTTCTGTGTTCATCCCCCATCCTGCAAACAGGCCACGGCAGTTCAGTTTCGCTGTCACCTCCTCAGAGAGGGAGTGCCACCCTCTGCGGCACCCCCCAAACCGCCACCAGCCCACTGCTCCATCCATTGCCATTACCTGGGTTTGTATGTCTACATAACCCCTCGCTAGCTGAGATGATTCCACACGCTGGCTTGCTTTTCTCTCCCTCCACTCCCAAGGAAGCCCCACAAGGGCAGGAATTAGGATTTCCTCAGCACTGTCCCGGCACCTAGAACAATGGCCAGCACGGCAGGTGCTTGAATATCTGTGGAATAAATGAAAGTACAGCCCAGCTCCGCACCCACGTGCTGGACAGCCTTGGAGTCAACCGAGACCATGGAGTCCACCGATTGCGGACTGAAAACGTTCTATTTAAAACATTGCTTCTGGGCCAGGCGCGGTGGCTCACGCCTGTCATCCTAGCTCTCTGGGAGGCCAAGGCAGGCAGATCATTCGAGGTCAGGAGTTCAAAACCAACCTGAGTAAGAGTGAGACCCTGTCTCTACTATAAATAGAAAGAAATTAATTGGCCAACTAAACATATATAGAGAAAAATGAGCCAGGCATGGTGGCGCAGGCCTGTAGTCTCAGCTACTCGGGAGGCTGAGGCAGGAGGATCGCTTGAGCCCAGGAGTTGGAGGTTGCTGTGAGCGAGGCTGACACCACGGCACTCACTCTAGCCTGGGCAACAAAGTGAGACTCTGTCTCAAAAAAAAAAAAAAAAGTTGCTTCTGTACTAAACATGTATAAACATTTTTTTTCTTGTCGTTATTTCCTAAACAATACAGTTATAACAACTATTTATGCAGTATTTATATTGTATTGAGTATTATAAGTAATCTAGAGATGATTTAAAGGGTATAGATGGACATGCATAGGTTACATGCAAACACTACACTGTTTTGTAGAAGGGACTTGAGAGTTTGCATGGATTTTGGTATCCAAAGGAGGTCCTAGAACCAGTCCCCAGCAGATTCCAAGAGACAACTGGATTGTAGAATGATTGTGGACTCCTCTGGAATGAATATTATCATAAGGTTTCAGTTTACAAGTTCTAGAAATGAACCCTATAAAGAATGAAAACAGGAGGGAAGACGTAAGTTGTTGATGTAAGTTGTTTTAATAAGAACTAAAATATACACTTATTAAGCCCCATCTTATACATATTTTAACTCTGTACTCTGCAAAAAGAAAATTGTTGCTGCCCAAACTACAGAAATGTGATTTTGATTTATAATAATGTAGAAAGAGTTCTAATAAGTTGTTAAATCTTGTTTATTTCTGGGACTTCAACTGAATTTTCCTTTTCATGAAGCTATTATTTAAAGTTCTACTTAGTGAATTAATGTCAATAATTTAAATGAATTTCTTTATATGCAATTATCTTGGATTGGAAGGCAGTAAAACAGTTGGAATTACTTTTAACAAATTACACATTCTTTCCCCTTCATGTACTCTACTGTTAGCATTAAGGAAAGTTACTGCTGTAATTTCATATTTAAAGTAGAAGCATTTGGTTTAGAGGAAATCATAGAGCTAACAGAAAAAAAAAAAAAACCCATATGCCCCTCACATTCACCCTATAGTAATAAAAACACCAAGAGGTCAGGTTTCCTAATAAGTGATATTCGATCACGCTCTATGTATTTGAATTTCATTTTAAAGAAATTAGTTTGGGGAGAAAACATCCCAGAGAGTGAGAAGCTGAACTTTAAGGAGATAAATAAATTAATGCATAATGCATTTTTAAACTCATGAATAGCAAATGAGTTTCTTAACCTGTAGGAATATTGGGCATTTTTCTGTAGGAGAAATGGGGTTTACCTAGTGTCTTGAAAACATAAAGGCAGTTACAAGAAAGGATTCGTGACTTAAGAAGAAATAGAGAGTTTTTCTGACCTCCTAAAACTATTCACATCTAAAATTTTAACTAGTGGATGATTTAGTCAAGTTGAAGACAATGTTAAAACATTACAGGCAACAGTCAAGTTGATGTATGATTAGGCTACACACCATGTCCTAGAAAACAGCCAAAATTAATGATGACAAAGTCTATGAGCAAATGCAAAGGAGAAGGCTTGAAACACCGATTTATCTTCTAGGAAAAAGTGGAGCAGATTAGACATCCCTTATTTACTTTGAGGATAATGACCTTGGTCCTTGGGGATTCAGAACCAAAATATGCTAGAGCAAGCCAGGAACATAAGACAAGAAAGCAAAGTGGATGGAAAACGGAGGGTCTTGTTTAGAGACTCTGCACTCCCCCGGCAGCTTTTGGTGGGTGTGGATTTCTCCTGTGGAGAATCGTTCAAACCACTAAATCACCAGCGCGGCCCTTATTCTGCCCACCTTCAAAATGAAAGCCACATGGAGAGAGACAGTCACGGAACAGTGAAAGCTACGCGGATAACAGGGAACGTAGCAGGGAAACAAGTGCTGCTCGGACACATTCAGTCTGGAGCCAGCATCAGCCTGTTCCAGAATTAACCTCTCCTTTAGCTCATATTCTGTTGTCTTGAGGCCAAAAAGTACACGTGCAGCTCTCAACACAAAATCTTGCAGCACACAGATGTGCCACCCGAATGTGGATCAATCCGATCCTGAATCTGTCTGGACTAATAATAAGACCCCAAATTGCTTAGCACGTAACCCTAGGAGGTAGGTACCAATATCACCCCCCATTTTTCAGCTAAGGAAAGCACGGCACAGAGAGTGCGGGCGCCGTGCCCAGGGACGGGGGCTGGCGCCCGCCAAAGCCACATTCGAGCCCAGGCCCCCCGGCTCCTCACCGCGCCGAAGCCACTCCGCCCGCCATTCTGCTAAGCTGTCACGGATTCCACGTGAATAAAGTCAGGTTTCCCGTGAAAATGCCGTGAAACTGGTCCGTGGGCACAGGCATGGGGGTTGCAGTGTCGCTGATCAGATAGAAGTTGCGCACAACACAACTTGCTCAGAAAAGTTTAACAACGTTTTTCAATCACATTTTTAATTTTCTAAGTGTGTTTTTTTGTCATACATCTGTTTATTTTTAGCCACAGGCACTGAGTTTGCGCCAGAGACTTGAGGACTCAGGTGCATGTCGATTCAATTCGCCTCTTATGCACAGAATCAGGGATCTTGTTGTTTTGTTTTGTTTTTTTCTTCAAGGCAATCTTAATGATTTAGTTATCATTTCAAGAAATACAGCAAAAGTTTCTATAATAGTAAAGAAGTGACTTGTAAGTCACAGAGTGTGGACCACATACTGCCACCACAAATGATCATATTCCAGTCTCAATGTGTCCAAAGAATCTGGACACCCTTTTGGGTGTGCTATAGAAATATTTAAGCCATTTTCGGTGAAAACGTTTGAAATGCCCTTCAGTTGCATTTGACCAAAACGGTTCAATATCTCCCGACAAAGCAAATTAATCAGGCCTCCGAAACTAATGCAGATACTGACAAATGGAATTGTCTGATGTGTAGCACTGAGCACGCATCTCAAAATATTAATGCAGTTATTCTTTCTGGAGTCAGGAGAGCAAAAATACTCTTTCAAGCCCAGGCACGGAAGAAGAGAGCCTCTGCTTGTGATCTTCCTAAAACGCCTTTGGTTTCAGAGCTCGGGAGGCGTTAGGGCCTTGCTCACTTTGCCAATTTATGTGAGTCTGGACCACAGGAGTGATCAGCCTGTGACTGCTGATTTTTTTTTTTTTTTTTTTTTTTTTGATACAGAGTTCCTCTTTGCCAAGCTAGAGTGAGTGCCGTGGCGTCGAGCCTCGCTCACAGCAACTCTCAGACTCCTGCCCATTAACACCTCCTGCCTCAGCTCTCCGATCTGGGACTGCGGCATCGCACCATGCCCGCCTAATTTTTTCTATATATATACATATATGCCAATTGAATTCTCTTCTACTTATAGTAGAGACGGTCTCGCTCTTGCTCAGGCTGGTTTCAACTCCTGACCTTGAGCATCCGCGCCGCTCAGCCTCCCAGAGTGCTAGGTGAAGGCGTGAGCCACCCGCCGGCCCATGACTGCTGATTTCGACAGATCACCCGGGCTCTATGGAAGGCAAAGGGACATTGGAAGGAGAAGTGCAATACTGTCTGTGAGGACGCTCTGAGGTCCTCCAGAGAAAGGCACGTGCTTAAATGCGGCAGAAGCCCAGGAATGAGGAAAGGATGGCGGGTCCGGTTTCAGCTCCACTAAGGGCAAGACGGGGTGACAGTGGTCTACCTGACAGTCATCCTACTGGAACGCTGTCCTTGTGCAACCAAGGCTGCTGCTGACCCTCTGGTCTGCAGTGGTCATTCCGGCTACTCCACCGGACAGGAGAACCACCACACCGCCCCGTTCCTTTCACCATTTGTCTCAACACGAAACCATGCTGCGCGCACAGCATTCTCCATCTGTCATGCCACAGATGCGTTTGCACGCGCAGTTCATGCTCACAACACACGCCGTCAAACCCGCCTCCTTGTCACCTCGTGGACCTCTCTCTACTTTCATGATGTTGGAGGAAGACAGTTGTACTGAGGGTCAAAATACCAATTCCGGGCCGGGCGTCGGTGGCTCACGCCTGTCATCCCAGCACTCTGGGCGAGGCCAGGCGGATTGCTCCAGGTCAGGAGTTCAAAACCAGCCTGAGCAAGAGCGAGACCCCATCTCTACTATAAATAGAAAGAAATTAATTGGCCAACTGATTATATAGAGAAAAAATTAGCCGGGCATGGTGGTGCATGCCTGTCGTCCAAGCTCCTCGGGAGGCTGAGGCAGGAGGACTTAAGCCCAGGAGTTTGAGGTTGCTGTGAGCTAGGCTGATGCACGGCACTCACTCTAGCCTGGGCAATAGAGTGAGACTCTGTCTCAAAAATATATATATATACTAATTCAAGTCCTAACTAGTTCTCTAATTAACCATGAGACCTTATCCTGCCTCCTGAGCCAATAATCTCCACTGGTCTCCTGAGTGGACAGAATGACCTAATAACTAATAATGTACTCAAAGTGCTTTCAAAAAGTAAGATATCTTTTAGTAACAGTGCTCTTATTTTAAGAATACTGATGCAATATCAATAATTCAAATCTGCCCTACATACAGTTTTACAAGTTAATAAGCATGCACATTTGCAATGAAACATCAGCTTACCATGCAATCTCTCCATGTGTGCTTGTGTGTTCTGAACACGTTCTGCTAGCTTCAGATCTTCTATATTCTGTGCATGTATAACCATGCCAGGCCGGGTTACGCGGAAATTTTTATTTTTGAGTTGATTAAAGTCATTTTCCTTCCTGACACTGCTATTTAGCTGAGCTAGAGATAATCTTTCTCAGAAAAAAAATCCTTAAAACACTATTCATTATTTTCAAAATAGCCCAGTCCCATTAAAACTGAGTTAATGATAGATTTCCTGAGAAGAATTCCCCATTTAGTAATTAAGTAGCAAAAATGTTTACCCAGAAATGCTTGTTTCCCCAGGGATTTATTAATCATCCTTTATGGGAGTAATCCAGTTAACATAGTTATTTTCCTACCCCTTTTAGAATTAAATCTGAGATCTCATATTTTTGCTGAAAATCTACCTAGTAATACATATTTACTTTTCATTTAATGGGGAAATAATCTGTTTTAATTAAGCTAAACTGAAGAACTTTTATCAG